CGCTGCGACAGGGTCCTTCGGTTTGAGCTTGAGAGATGTTATGTCCCGAAAAAGGTTAATGTGAAAATTGTCAGCTATGCTGCCATGAGGGTGCGGAGGTTGGTTGTCTTCTAATTGCCTTTGCATTCCTACAAAAATTCATAACAGGCCTATTATTGTGCTTAATTTCAATTTTTATGCATAATTGTAGACGAAATCTTACTGTATTTCCTGGACATATTTTGTCCTTCATTCCTTTTAAAAAAGTCTTGCTATCTCATAAGGAGACAATGGGAAAATGAACCAGCCATATTCAGTGTCTGTAAAAAGGAACTCCTGCTCAGTAGTGAGGTTTATTGTTATGGATGTCATGGTGGAAATTCACCTTTTAAAAATATAATGAAATTGTTGAGAAGAGATTTCCTTTCCTGAAAGCGTGTACTACGTTGTTGGCTGTGGGTTCTGACAAAAATTCATAACAGGCCTATTATTGTACTTAATTTCAATTGTTATGCATAATTGTAGAAGAAACCTTTTGTATTTCCTGAACATATTTTGTCCTTCATTCCTTTTTAAAAAGTCTTGCTATCTCATAAACCATTGCATGTTCTTATAAATGCAGTCCAGTTTGTTGAGTAGTGAGCTTTGGGGAAGAAGAAGTCTTCAGATAGGATTGTGATATAAGGAGACAATGGGAAAATGAACCAGCCATATTCAGTGTCTGTAAAAAGGAACTCCTGCTCAGTAGTGAGGTTTATTGTTATGGATGTCATGGTGGAAATTCACCTTTTAAAAATATAATGAAATTGTTGAGAAGAGATTGATAAACTTGTAGATGGTGGCTGGTTTTGTTGCTTCTCTTTCCTTTTATTAGGACATCGTTCTCGTGTCCCAACTGATCTGGCTACTCTTATCAATTAATATTATTGTTGGGGAATAACTTGCTTCCCCCCTATTTCTTGCCCATTTAGTGTTTTTGCTTATCTATCTATCTATCTATCTATCTATCTATCTATCTATCTATCTATCTATCTATCTATCTAATTTATACCCCACCCTCCCCACAATGCAGGCTCAGGGCGGCTCACAATCAATACATAAATACAATTAAAACAACATAAAATCATCTAAAAACAATTTCATTATAGCTAATACAGCTGTTATAGCTAATACAATTAATAAATTAATAAAGTGCTGCTGATGGTTATACTATTGTTCAAGATGGCTGGCTCTCACAATATACTTTCAAAGGTCTAGGAACCATTCTGCTTGAGTGCAGGCTAGGTGTTAAACCAGAACCAAGACCAAGGGCCAGGGCTCTAAGCTGGCTCAGCTTAAGCCAACCAGCCACCGCTTGTAATGCTCAGTCCAGATCTTCTGCTCTGGAGTCGGATGGGCTGCCCAACATCAGATAGAGCTGGGTGTCATCAGTGTACTGGTGACATCCCAGCCCATGCCTCCGGGCAATCTGGGCAAGGGGGCGCATATAGATGTTAAATAGCACTGGGGAAAGCACTGCCCCTTGAGGCACTCCACAGTCCAGTGGGTGCCTCTTGGACTACTGTTCCCCTAGTGTCACCCTTTGTCCCCGACCCTGGAGAAAGGAAGCGAGCCATTGTAAGGCAAGCCCCTGGATTCCTATTTCAGCGAGGCGGTGGACCAATAACTGATGGTCGACCGTGTTGAACGCCGCTGACAGGTCCAACAACATCAGCACTCCCGATCTGCCTCTATCCAGATGCCTTCGGAGGTCATCTGTGAGGGCGATCAGTGGCATCTCTGTCCTGTAACCTGGGCGAAAACCGGACAGGAAGGGATCTAAGATGGAAATGTCATCCAAAAAGCTCTGTAGCTGAATTGGTACCGCCCTCTCTGTTAGTTTGCCCAGATAAGGCAAATTGGACACCGGCCGATAGTTAGCCAATTCAGTCAGGTAACGCTCCATCAAAGGTCAGGAGTGGGATCCCCATCCCCGAACTGCCCCGACTCAAGCACAGGACCTCCGTCTTCACTGGATTCAGTTTCAGCTGGCTCAGCTTAAGCCAATCAGCCATGGCTTGTAATACTCAGTCCAGATCTTCTGGTCTGGATGGGCCGCCCAACATCAGATAGAGCTGGCTGTCATCAGTGTTCTGGTGACATCCCAGCCCATGTCTCCGGGCAATCTGGGCAAGGGGGCGCATATAGATGTTAAATAACATTGGGGAAAGCACTGCCCCTTGAGGCACTCCACAGTTCAGTGGGTGCCTCTTGGACTACTGTTCCCCTAGTGTCACCCTTCGTCACCGACCTTGGAGGAAGGAAGCAAGCCATTGTAAGGCAAGCCCCTGGATTCCTGTCAGCGAGGCGGTGGACCAGTAACTGATGGTCGACCGTGTCGAATGCCGTTGACAGGTCCAACAACATCAGCACTGCCGAACCGCCTCGATCCAGATGCCTTTGGAGGTCATCTGTGAGGGCGATCAGTGCCATCTCTGTCCTGTGACCAGGGCGAAAACCGGACAGGAAAGGATCTAAGATGGAAGTGTCATCCAAAAAGCTCTGTAGCTGAATCGGTACCGCCCTCTCTATTAGTTTGCCCAGATAAGGCAATTGGACACCAGCCAATAGTTGGCCAATTCAGTCAGGTAACTGTCCATCAGTAAGGGATTTGTTGATAATCTCCCACAAGGTGCCTCGAAAACCGTCACAGCCAGGTTTGATTAGCCATGATGGGCACGGATCTAGGCAGCATGTGGTAGGACAGACAGCTAGGAGTAATTTGTCAACTTCCTCTAGGCTGAGTGGGTTGAAATGATCCAGAACTGGAATTGAAGACATGCATGGAACCTCAAGCTCGCTCACTGTGTCAACTGTGGCAGGGAGGTTGCGGCGAAGCGACAAGACCTTATTGGCGAAATGGCTCGCAAATGCCTCATAGCCTATATCCAATTCCCTAGCATTTGGTCTGCCCTGTGGCAGAGTAGTTATAGACCGAATTGTTCTAAATATTTGGGCTGGGCGTGCACTCACGGATGCAATCATGGCCGCGTAGTACTTTCTCTTCGCGGCTTTGATTGCCATCTCATAGGATCTCATAAACATCCTATAAGATGTTCTTGTGGCTTCGTCTTGAGCACGGCACCACCGTCTCTCTACCTGTCTCAGTCCTCGCTTCATAAGCCGCAACTTCTGGGTAAACCAGGGAGTAAGCCTACAGCGAGGGCGCAGAGGGTGTCTGGGAGCGATCTCATTGATGGCTGCAGAGAGCCAGTTATGCCAGTCCCCCACAAGCTCATCTAACGAGCCGCCAGGGGGCATCGTATCCTGCAGAGCTGTCTGAAGCCGCACTGGGTCCATCTGGCTCTGCAGGTGAGCTAAAATACGTTCGCTGCCTAAAGAGGGTTGGGATGGGAAATTCAGGTGAGCCCTCAGGGCATGCAGGTCTGACCATGGTACTACCGAAGCAGTAACCCGGTTCACTGTTACCCCCGCCGCAAAGATCAAATTGAGTGTGTGCCCAGCCCGGTGAGTGGGGGTCATTATATATTGGTAGAGTCCTAATGCTGCCATGGATGACACCAGGTCCGCTGCCTGAGTGGAGGTCGCGTCATCAGCGTGGACACTGAAGTCACCCAAGACTATCAGTCTAGGGTGTTCCAGTGCCTAGCCTGCTATGGCCTTCATCAGGGATGGCAAGCTATTGGCCAGTGCATTAGGCAGATGATGCACCAGCCAAATTGCCAAACTCTCCCCGGCCTCCCATACCAGGCCAGCACACTCAATGCCTGTGATCATTGGAGGCGGGAGCGCCCTGAAGAAGTAAGCCTCCTGGATGAATAGCGCCACTCCCCCCCCAACCTGTGATTGGTGAAGGACCAAGAACCCCGGAGGGGCGAGTTGGGAGAAAGCTACTGTCTCCCCTTCCCGCACCCAGGTCTCGGTCATGCACGCCAGGTCTACATTCTGCTCTTGTAGAAAGTCTCTAAGGACCATGGTCTTACTATTTCTAGACTTGACATTACACAACACCAATGTCAGAGGGGGGGTTATTCTTCCTAGACTGCCAACATCCTTCGGGATGGGACGCAGGCTGGAAGAGGGCCAAGCTTTCTCATTTCTCCGCCCCCTTCCTTTGATACTCTGCCTGCTTCCACTGCTATGAATAGGAATGGGCATGAAGCGGTGCACAAAGCGAAAGTTGTCACAACTCATGCTGCTTCGTGCATCGTGAACAGCCAACTTCAAGCGATTGCTTTGTTGATGAAGCAATCCACAACTTGGTATGTTTTGCTTTGGCAAGTTGTTGCGCTTCATTGGGCCAGACAGCCTGGCGCCAATCAATCAACTTCCCAGGCAACAAGGAGGAGCTTACTTCCGGTTTGGGAAGTGAGCTCTGAAGGCATTTAAATGCCTTTGGAGCCCACCTCTGGGTCAGGCCGGACCAAGAGTGAGCTCTGGAGGCCTTTATAGGCCTTATATGCCCTCATATGGGCAGTCCCCACCCTGAAGTGCGCTCTGAAGGCCTATAAAGGTCTTCGGAGCACACTCTGGGAGCTCAGTTGGGCCAGCCTGACCCAGAAGGTGGGCTCGGAAGGCATTTAAACACCTTTGGGGCTCACTTCTGGGTGGGGCTGTGTCTCAAGTGAGCTCCAAGAGCATTTAAATGCCCTCGAAGCCCACTTCTGGGTCATGCCGCAGCCACACCCCTAACCGGAAGTCAGCTCTGAAGGCTTTTAAATGTCTTCAGAGCTCACTTCTGGTGGGGCAGCCCCAAGAACTTCCTGAAGCACGAACCAGTTCGTGCAGTGGAGACATTCATAGAAGTCTGTGGTTCGGGGTTGTAAAATCATTCAGATTTTGAAATACTCTCTGGTCTGTGTTTCATGACTGATTTCAGCCTATTTCCAGTTGTCATGTGTTGCAAATAAATTCAGTCTTTACAGTGCGTGGTTCTTAGGCTTTAAACTTATCGTGTTTCTTATGAGATTAGGCTCCTTCACTACTATGTTCTGCTTCATCTTTACCTGTTTGTACAACAGAAAGGAGAGCCCTACTGCAATGTTCTTTCACTTGAGACGACTGAGCAGTTGACTTTTGAGATCCCCCTGAATGACTCCGGTTCAGCTGGACTTGGTGTGAGCTTAAAGGGCAACAAATCTCGAGAGACAGGGGCTGACCTTGGGATTTTCATCAAATCAATCATCCATGGAGGTGCTGCTTACAAGGTATGCAGAAACCTTATTTTTTATTCATAATATTTTAGTCAAATTACTGTTCTAGCTCTTCACTATAAACATGCAAAATGCTGTATGTATGATCAAGAACATAAGGATTTCTTTGCTGGATCTGATGAAAGACCAGTACTGTCTGTCTAATGCAGTAGCCAGTGAGATGTTTCCAGGGACATTAACAAACGGAGTTTCATGTAATACCATCCATGGTGGATTCATTCCATAGCATTCCATTCCTAGCAGTAGTTTTGAGTGCCTTGGTATGATTTCTTAAACTTTGACTTCAGCTCCATGTCATTTTGTAGCTCAACAAAGTTTGCGTCTTGGGGGTGCTGCTGGACTGTAGCTTCATTCTCACATCTCTTTGTTAACTCTTGCATTTATGTGCTATATTGCTGCCATTTATTGATCTTACTGGCCACCTGATCCAATTTCAGCTCTGTATATGCATCTTAGCTTTGAGTGGTCCCTTCTGACAGCTGCCCCCCACCCTCTTTTTTCCTGTAAGTAGCCCTTGAGATTTTATTCCAGCTGGTCTGAAGAAGAGCGCTTTGCACATGAAAGCTTACACTTTGAATAAAACTTTGTAGGTCTTAAAGGTGCCACTGGACCCAAACTTTGTTCTCCTGCTTCAGACCAACTTGGCTACCCGCCTGAATTTTTCATTTTGTAACTCAGTTACTTCTTCCTTCACAACCTCAACTTATTGCCTCTGAATACTTTTTTGGGTTTCCCCCCCTCTTTATTTTTATTACTGCAATTCTGAATAAAGACAATATGTTATTTCCTTTATAAAGGCTTGTCTAATTTTTTTGGCTAAAATACCATATCTCCCCTCAATATAATTTCCCCCTCTTTTTACTGGAATGTTTATTATTTATACCCTAAATTTCCCCTCAATTACCCCACATTTTTCCTTCTACCCCTTAATTTCCCCCTCCTCTTTGAAAACAGTTTTTGAGAAATTTTAAAACTTAATATAAACTAGAAATTGTGTGCGCTGCAAAAAATAACATTTACATAGCTAAAAAGCATGCTTCATAATCAACATGTTCCGTAACTGAGAATGCAGGAAAATAGTCAGTACTATTATATTAAGGACTTGTCAGCAAAAAAATGGCAAAGAGACAAAAACACACGTAGTGGTGACAGTTTCTCAAAACACAGTATACTGGTCTGACTAGAGTTCTGGTGACATATTTATTAAAAATTCCAATAGTTTCCACTACTTTGCAGAGGCAGAAACTTGGGAGTGCCATTTGCGAGCATGGCGTCATAGCCTGATCAATCATAAATAAGTGAGCAACGTGGAACAGGGTGCCCACCTCCAGTGCTCCCTCCTGTTGTCCCCTTAGCACCACACTGCTGGACCTCCTGAGGGCACCTGGTATTTTTGGCCACTGTGTGACAGAGTGTTGGACTGGATGGGCCTTTGGCCTCATCCAACATTGGCTTCTCTTATGTTCTTAATCCCATTACCGCCCACTTTGGGAACCACTGCTGTAACCTCTTTCCTCTTTTCCATTTTGGTCTTTCCTTCCAGTGTTTTTTCCTCCTTCCCCAAACCTTTTCATGCTTACACTTACAATGTTAGCATTGTAAACATAGGGATTTTATTTGTGCCTGATTCGAGCTACTTTCTTGCACACGTTGTAAGAGGATAAGATGTGTTTTGTTAGGCAACATGTTTTTGTCAATACTAGGAAATATGCTTTATCTTTGGGGGTGGTACTTGTTTCTTATACAAAAACTGAAACACTTCAGTCATTACTGACAAACTTCTGTTTATGCACCACATAATGGCTTCATTTCAAGGAGCTGCTGAGACAAGACTTTTCTCCTCATTCGTCTTTATTTTACTTTATTTATTGCTTCCCTTTTTCTGTGAGACTCAAGGCAGATGACAGAATATGAAAGATGCATTCAAACTGTAAGACAGACAGTGAACAATGCAATAGGTGTAGGATTAGAGTTAGAAAACAATGCAAACAACAAGTTGTCTAAGGCATAGTATACTATAAACCGCTCAGAAAGTGGAAGTACAAATGTAGGAGACAATGCTGTAAGAGTGCAAGATGAATCCTACAATAAAGTAAAGGTAAAGGTTTCCCTTGCTCGAAAGCTAGTCGAATCCGACTCTAAAGGGCGGTGCTCGTCTCCGTTTCCAAGGCGAAGAGCCAGTGCTGTCCAAAGACGTTTCCGTGCTCATGTGGCTGGCGTGACTAGACGCCGAGGCATACAGAACGCTGTTACCTTCCCACTGAAGCGGTACCTATTTATCTACTTGCAATTTCTTGCTTCCGAACTGCTAGGTTGTCAGGAGCTGGGGCCAGAGATGGGAGCTCACTCCGTCCCACGGCACTAGAGTCTCAAACTGCCGAAACAGCATCTTAACCTCTGAGCCACCACGGCCCTGATTCCTACAGTACAAGACTACAAACCTGTTCCATTATGAAGGTGTCATGATCTGTACTGTGCAAGCACGGCCTAGCAGGCCCAAGGAGCCTGGCTAGCAGTAGGAAGGGGCTGGGCCTACAAATTCCAGAAGGCCTTGGGAAGTTTTGGTGCCGATTTTGACCAATAGGGAAGAATAGGGCTCTGGAATAAGAGAACTGGTACAACAGGGAAAGCTGTTCTTCCCAGAGGGCAGAGCCAGAAGGAAGAAACCCTCATCCTGAGGGAAGGGTGAGTAGTCTAAGGCCACTTGTTAGTGAGCTAGGGACAGTATATATTTAGACGCATTAGGGCATTTGATTTCTTTTCTTTTCACCCACTTACTGTTATTATTCTGCATCTTGTTTGTTTGACCTCCTATAAAATAAACCTTTTCATTGTTTACTTTGCCTTGTCCTCACGCCTATTATTCGGCTAAAAGGGAGGTCTGAAGGTCTTGGGAGGGTGCTCTGGGCCTTCTCAAGGGATCCTAATTCCAGATTGGTGGCAGCGTCAGGTGACACCCCACCTGAGCCGTGACAGAAGGTGTTCCCTCCTGAATGGTCCCTCCATTCTGTTACAGTTCTCATCCCTTCATACACAACAGGATTCTTTTACTGGGGTATATATCCTTCTTGGGTAAGTCTTGAACACAGTGCCTGAATTCAGAGTATCTGACCATGGGCTCGCCCCTGACTCACAGACAAACAAATGCATTTCCCACTCTGGTGGAGAGAGGATAGAGAATATGTTAATTTATTTGTTTAAAACAATTATTAGCTGCCTTTCCTGCTTTACAGAACTCAGGGTGGCTTACAATAAGAACTGTGAAAGCCTCCCTTCCTATATATCTTCTCCCTTCTATACAGTACTTGGCCATGATAGAACAAAGCCATATGCAAACAGCACAGAGGAAACATTATACTGTGCATGCTTGTGAGGAAGCAAACCTAATACTGCAAAATCTAAAGACTTCCTCCAAGAATGACACAACTCAGAGTACATCATCAGTGAAAGGATGTATATTAGTGTGATAAGAACGGAACATAAGAACATAAGAGAAGCCAATGTTGGATCCGGCCAGTGGCCCATCCAGTCCAACATTCTGTCACACAGTGGCCAAAAATACCAGGTGCCCTCAGGAGGTCCAGCAGTGGGGCCAGGACACTAGAAGCCCTCCCACTGTTGCCCCCCCCCAAGCACCAAGAATACAGAGCACCACTTGCCCCAGATTGAGAGTTCCTATCTATACCTCTGAATGATATTTATGATATGGATATTTATTTTTTTATTTTATTTAAGCCCTGCCCTCCCCGCCAAGTTGGGCTCCTGTGCTCCTGTGTGTGTAATACTGTTGTTCAATGTCTGCGTTAAAGCGGCTTGGTGCTATTTTTTTTTTAATCATGCACTCTGTTTTTCCCCCCTTGCTGCTATTGATCTTTTTCATTTGTCCCTTAAGTAAATTCTACTTGTTTCCAGAGCTACAGGTATTATTGGCTTAAGCATATACACTGGATTTAAGAGAATTGAAGTTCTGCTGTGAAAACTATAATATATATAAAATCATTATTGTTATAAGGATAGTTTCTGTACGGATGCCTTGTGACAACTGAGAGGAAGAAGTGCGGGCGAGAGAAGCTGGTCGAATAAATGAGTTTCAGAAGTGCCTTGGGATAACATCTAGGAACGAGGCTAATACGAAAACAAATTCAATTTTCCCCCCCACTGTAATATTGAGCTGAAAACACTGTCCTTCGTTATGAAGGAAAATTGACTGCTCTCTGAAATGACTGTATAGATCCTTAACAGTGGAAAGACATGACTTGCCCTGCACTGAGAATCGAAGCATAGTCTTACTGAAAGAAAAGTGGTACTCAAAATGTTGGTGACAGGCTGTCTTTAAATCAACAAGGGTGTGGACCTTTCCTGTTTTAGAGACCACTGCTGTAATCCATACAGCTTTTACTAATACATTTGAGCTTATAAAAAGACAATTCCAAAGGGTAGCCATGTTGGTCTGCAGTAGAACGGCTACGTTTGAGTCCAGTAGCACATAAGAACATAAGAGAAGCCAATGTTGGATCAGGCCAGTGGCCCATCCAGTCCAACACTCTGTCACACGGTGGCCAAAAATACCAGGTGCCATCAGGAGGTCCACCAGTGGGGGCAGGACACTAGAAGCCCTCCCACTGTTGCCCTCCCCCCCCAAGAACCAAGAATACCGAGCATCATTTACCCCAGACTGGGAGTTCCTATCTATACCTTGTGGCTAATAGCCACTGATGGACCTCTGCTCCATATGTTTATCCAATTCCCTCATGAAGCCATCCATGCTTGTAGCCACCACCACTTAACTGCGGCAGTGAATTCCATGTGTTAATCACTCTTTGGGTGAAGAAATACTTCCTTTTATCTGTTGTAACCCGACTGTTCAGCAATTTCATTGAGTGCCCATGAGTTTTTGTATTGTGAGAAAGGGAGAAAAGCACTTCTTTCTCTTCCTGCTCTATCACATGCATAATCTTGTAAAACTCGATCATGTCACCCCTCAGCCATCATTT